GGGGTGGAGCGCGACGGGTCCCCGCGAAGTTGGCAGAGCCGCCGGGGTTCGCTCTCCTGCTAGGGGGACCGTAAAGGTGAGAAGGCTTCCTCCCCGCGCGCCCCGGCGCCGGCTCCAGCTCGGAGTCGCCGTCCCGGTCGGTGGCTCCTCGGCTACACCCGCGCCTCTCCTACTTGGCGGGGCTGCCTGTACTGCCGCCACAGCCCATCCGAACACCGGGCGCCCCCACCCCGGCGTGTGGGTGGTGACCTTGAGGGCAGCCGAGCCCGGCACTCCCTCTCCCCGCACCCCGGGAGGGTCACCCATTTAATCCCTGCCTTGGGCCCCCGAGAGGTGCTGCCGGCTCAAGGTGAGGGAGGGTTCGTGCGTCGGCCTCCCGGAGGGGGTGCTGTGATAGATGCGTGTCAGACAGGACGGTGACTCCCGGGGAGTTGGAGAGCCGCCCTGACTCTCTGTTCAGGTCTTGTGTCTGGCCCCCCCAGGATGTTCACGCTTGCTTCCGATTCGTGTTTATGTACTTAGTTTAAAAGAAAAAATATTATCTGCGCTGTCCTCAGGTCCCCGGAAAGGGTCAGTAAGAAGGAGGGTGGCATTCCAATTGCGGGGGGGGGGCGGGCGGAGAGGGCGGGGGGTTCCTCTCTGTTCCATCTTGCAAGAGAATTTTGTGGCTTAGCTAGTTAGCGACCCCTGGGTCTGCGCTTCAGTCTCTGCCTGGGTTGGTCTCTGTGCGCATTTCGTTCACCAGTTTACTGCGGGACTCTAGCATTGAGAGAGAGTGCTTTTGCTTTTGAGGTGAGAGGACCCCGAAGGAGGACCCAAAGGAGAGCTGGGACTGCCCAGCGTGGGTAGAGGGGTCTGCAGGACCGCCAAGGACGCTATCCTCCTCCTCGGTGGGCTGATTTTTTTTCTCCCTTCCTGTGGGCTGGAGCGCTGCAGACAGCCACCTTTGGCTGCTATGCATGTTACTTTTCTGGGTTTATTAATAATCTAATGGCTCCTGTTGGTATCGATTGCTGTTCCTGATAAATTAGTTATATGGTTTTTTTTGTTTTCATACGTGTGTAGGTATATGCACGTCCTGGACTGTCTGCCTTTCAACATGGAAGGCTTTGTTGTGTTTCACCTCCCCCACCTGAGGACAGTCTTTACTTTAAAATAAGGTTCTTGCTCAGCGTAGGTGTATTTTATAATAATAAGTACTTGTAAGGGCCTGGTTTGTGAAAGCGCTCTTAGGGCATCCCTTTGGATGGTGGCCCATGCGAGTGAGTGGAGAGCCTTGACTTGCTCTGCCACCAGCCTTCCCTAGGGAGACTCCTGTCCTTGTGTGTGGCAGGGATGGATGGGGGAATTAAAGAGGGATTGGAGGAGGAAAATCTGCCTTTTGTACTTGGGTGCTTCATTTGGCACCACCATCCCAACCCCTCTTTTTTTCCCCCTCCTGGTGAGTTCAAATTTGAAGTAAATAGAAATCTTTTTTTTTCTTATTGGGAGGTTTTTTTAGTGTATGAAATGGGCCTTTTAAGCCGTGTTTTTAGGGAGCTGTTTTAGTTTTTACCTTGCTTTGGATAAGACAGTTAAATTGCTGTCATTAAGGGTGGATCTCTGCCCTGATTTTGGCTTGGGTGTAACTGCAAAGATCTTTGAAAAGTAACTGTTATTTTCTACCATATAGTCTGCAAAAGTGAGTCACATTCGGGTGAGATGAGGACAGAGCGCCACCTTTGATTTAAATTTTTGTTGTCCCCCCCCCACTCCCATCAAACGGTGAAAATGAAGAGTATGCCTGCTCACCGCAGTTGTCTTTGCTGCGTCCATTTAGAGGGAAGGGGACTTTTCATTTCTCTGTATCCTCTAGTTTCTAGATCTTGAGAGGCATTTCAAGTGTGTGGGGAAACTTCGGTGTTTTGTTTTTAGATGAAGCTTGAGACCTTACGTAGCCTTCTGAGATGAGGTGAGGAACTGGTTTTGACTCATGTCGATAATAGAATAAGAGGATATTGATGATCTGGACCGACTAAGGACTGAGGGAAGGAGGGAATGCAGCAGTGTTTTCCACTGTGTTTAGACATTCCAGCAAATTCCAGTACCTACCAGCATGGTAGTACTTTTACTACTCCTTTTTTTTTTTTTTAACTGCTGAGCTATAAACAGGTTCTAAAATAAAGACCAAAAACGTGGTAAAATTATTTTTCTGGCCCGGCTACGATATATTAATTCTTTTTCCTTTGTTATCATGGTTTACCTGCCTTTCATGGTTTTACCGGGTGCTTATAATTACTTGCTTTAAGTACTTACATTCAAAGTTTAATCAAGACCATGTTGGAAAACGTGGATTCTGTGTACGGCTCCTCTCAGATGCATCTCATATGAAAATAAATGGACTTTTTCAGGCTTCAGGGAGAGAGATGCTGTAGCGACAGCCGAGCTGATGAGATTTCCCTGTCCGCTCTGCGTCGCTCTCTCCCTTCTCAGATCCAAAGTTTAAGGTGCACTATCTCTTTAGACAGACGATAATTTTTTTATTGTATACCGTAGAACGCAAGAGAAAAGGATGTAACCTTTAAATAATGGGTAAATTAACATGGATATTACCTAATACGGATTTTAATTACAGACCACAAGCTATTATTACTGTTTTATCTGCATTTAAATTTTAATTCAACGTTTGTGAGTTCTTCTGACTACTGTCAAACGTTAGATGTTGAGCTATAGATAAGTATGAAGCTATAATTAAACAAAAAATCCGTTTGAGATGATAGATTACTTATGCCTTCACTGCTCCAAGGCCTCCTTAAAGCCATAGAATATGGCCCTAGTAAACTAGGACATTTAAAGTGATTAAGGTGATGCATGCAGAATAATTAATACATTGTTAAATGTATTTTGATAAAATCCTTCGTTTGGGCATTCAGTTGACTAATTTCCATGGGCAAACATGTTAACTTCATTTTGAATGAAACAATCTCTTATGTGAAGAGATTTACGAGGACTTGTCACTCAGTAAAACTATAAATAATAATAAAAATAGTAAAACTTATAATATTGAACATCAAAAACATTTGACAATTTTTCTTATATTTTATACATATAAGGTTAAAAGTAGCATTTCATGTCTTACGGAATTTGTAATTGATATAAAAACACAGGAAGAGTAAGGATCAGGAAGCAGAGACTTAAACTTAAGTTCCTGCATCTTGTGTAAAAGTACTTGATTAGTTGAAGGGAAAATGATTTTCTGGTAAATGTCCTATAGAAGGGTGCTATTAATAGCTTGTTTGGGGGTTTACAGACTCTGAGGCAATATTACAAGGAAAATCATAAATATAAGAAACATTTTTTAAAAGAAGTGATAGTTTCTTAACTTTTAGAAACGGTGCTTAAAAACACACACCAAATACACTGCTTTATTAATTTTTTTGTTCCAGAAAACAGAGTAAGAAAGTTAAATCACCATTTTGATAACCCATAGCCAATCCACTGTCAATATCACCATACTAGAAATAAGTCTGTTATGAATGGGCACATTAGGTAAATAGATGAATTTTTTTTTTAATGTCATATTCTTGTTATGTAGCCCTGGCTGGGCTGGAACTCACTACATAGACCAGGCTAGCCCTGAACTCATAGAGTGTCACCTGCTTCCAACTCTTGAATATTAAATTGAATTCTTACGTTTAATATTTGTAGCATAGGAGATCCTCAGTACTACTCAATATTCAACAGTATCTGAAAGGTTGACTCTGTAGCTTTTGTTGTATGTGTGGCTTCGACTTTTTATTTTTCTGCTGATACTCTGTTGTGTAGCAGGTACCTAATAGTAGCTTTTCGGGTTTCATGCTTGTTGGTGCTCCATAACAGTTGACTAAGGAACGCTCATAGCTGTTTAGTGTGGTTTTTATCATACTGTGCTACATGATTCTCATGACGGGTAATTTTTCCAAATGAGTTACATAGAGAGTTGTACCTTTCCCCCCTGGTAGTCAAGGTGATTTATCTAGGTTCGGTGTCACGTAGCTGACAGATAAATCAGCCAGACCTGGACTCCAGATTCTCCAGAGACGCTCTTCTTCTAGCTCTGCTCACCACTCTTCTCACTCCCTGTGTGTGTTTGTGCGAGCGTATGGATATTCATATTCATGATCTATGAAAGGTCAGCTTCTGATCGGCATAAATTTAATAATATAATAAAAATAAATTTGCTTA